GAAAATACATGTCCACACAATAACTTGTTTTTTTTTTTTTTTTTTTTGTGAGATGGAGTCTCACTCTGTCACCCAGGCTAGAGTGCAGTGGCACGATTTCGGCTCACTGCAATCTCCGTCTCCCGGGTTCAAGCAATTCTCCTGCCTCAGCCTCCCAAGTAGCTGGGATTACAGGTGCACACCACCATGCCCGGCTAATTTTTGTATTTTTAGTAGAGATGGAGTTTTGCCATGTTGGCCAGGCAGGTCTTGAACTCCTGACCTCAAGTGATCTGCCCGCCTCGGCCTCCCAAAGTCCTGCTGGGATTACAGGAGTGAGCCACCGTGCCTGACCAAGAACTTGTACATGAATGTTCATAACAGCATTATTCATTATGGCCACAAATAATTAATATATTATCAACAAATGATTAACAAAATGTGATATATCTATGCAATGGGATAATATTAGGCAATGAAAAGGAGTGAAGTACTGTTGCATGCTACCACATGAATGAATCTTGAAAACATGCTAACTGAAAAAGCCAAGCATAAAGACCACACGTTTTATGATTCCATTGATATGAAGTGTCCAGAATAGGCAAATCTGTAGACAGAGAAAGTAGATTAGTGGGTTGTTTAGGACTAGAGGAGGTGGAATGGAGAATGAGGAGTGACTGCTAATAGATGGATACATTTGGGTGACAAAATGTTATAAAATTAGATTGTGGTGATAGTCTCTGAATATACTAAAAACCATTGATTATAAACATTAATTGGGTGAATTCTATGATCTGTGAATTATGTCTCAATAAAGCTGTTTAAAAACTTAAAAGTTAGAGCCGTTAAAACAAGACAAAATAAGGGCATATATTCCAATGTACTAATAGGTGTAATTGAAGTTCAGTGTGTTACTTTTCGTAGCCTCCAGTATAAAGATTTAGCATGGCTCTTTGGCAAAGGTACATGCATATCAGTACAGTGTTCAGATATTAAAAGCCTTTATTGAAGGAAATAAGAGAAGACCTGAATAAATGTGTAAAGATGTGAAGATGCAATATTATAAAGACAACAGTTCTCTGTAGATTTCCTAATAACGTAATGAATTCTCAGTCAAAACTCCAGCAAGACTTGCTTGTAATGTTATAATGACTAACTCTGAAATTCATAAACAAGAATGTAGGTGTGATAATAGCAATCCAACAAAAAGAGTATTTAATAAAGTAGAGAACTTGCCCCAATTGGCTTACAGGTCTCAGAAAGCCATGATAATAAAAATGGTGTGACTAGTGCAGAGAGAGGCAAATATGTGATGGAACAAAAGAATGCCCAGAAACAGAGCTGCGCACATATGGAAAACTGCTGTGTGTAAGAGACAGCAGAATAATCCAGTATGTCAAAGTATCATAATTATGGAATCAACACATGTCAATGAGGAAATCAAGCAAGATGGTAAAACTGGTAACAGCATTTGGAGAACTGAGGAAAGAATAAGTGTTGAAATAAGGTTTGTTATGTACTAAACTGGTTAACCTCCAGCAAAGTAATAAAACCATAATCTTACCACACAGAAATTATTTGCATATCTACCAGATTAAAAAATCTACAAGTTAACATAATTTTACAGAGTGTAGGTTTTAATAGTAAATAGCAAGCCAAACAAAATATATACCCCCTAGGGAATTAAATGTTCCTTGGGTGGGCCTGTTGGACAGTGCTCCAAGATGACCTTGAGAGGACACGCAGTCTTCCTTTTGCCTAGTTTCCAAGCTGTTATAACAAGTAGATGAGTTATTTCTTGCTTATCCATGCAGGAAAGAATTAAATGTAGCTCAGACTGTACACAAAATGGATTCTAGATTATACTTGTGTGTTTGCAGTATTATTTTCTCTACTTTATGTATTTGAAGCATTTCTTATTAACAAAATGAGAAAATGTGTTCTTAAAACACTAGACAGTACTTTCAATAAATGAGTTAGGTCTATATCTAAAAAAATCCTGTTTAATAAAAAATTAGTTTGTGGCATGATATGCTTATTGTGATATTAACATAAATCTAGAAATACTATAGAATTTCTGTGACTTCATGTACATGTGTATACAAACATAAAGGACTAGAAGAATCTAAACCTTTATATCTTAGAAAAGAGGAATAAAATGTAACATTATTTTATTAATAATTATTATATTCTGGTAAATTCAAGTCTGTTGTGTCAGGTAAAGATACAATAATTTTAGCTTTTGTTAACGGATTAATTTAGGCACAGTAATATTTTAGCTAGTTGGTTTGAGCACTGAGTGATTCCTGAACTGAGTATCATTAGAACACAAGCAGTTCAGTGTTCTTCCTAAGAAGTGGGAGGGGGAAACTTATGAAGTATTTAAAGAAGCAAGACAAATAAAATATTTCACTGGAACAAGTGGGAGGTTCCTAGTTAGAGGTGAGTTGGTGGTGTCTGATTGGCTTAGCTTAAGTTTCGTTTTCAATGTTTACATTGAGTTGAGTTTCCATTTGCTTGTATAGGAACCATCTTTGCTGAATGGCCTCCCAATTCATTATTACTATTTTTATTTTTTGAGATAGAGTTTCACTCTTGTCACCCAGGCTGGAGTGCAGTAGCACAATCTTGGCTCACTGCATCCTCTGCCTCTCAGGTTCAAGTGATTCTCCTGTCTCAGCCTCCCGAGTAGCTGGGATTACAGGCACCCGCCACCATGCCTGGCTAAGTTTTGTATTTTTATTAGAGATAGGGTTTCACCATGTTGGCCAGGCTGTTCTCAAACTCCTGACCTCAAGTAATCTGCCTGCCTCAACCTCTCAAAGTGCTGCGATTATAGGCGTGGGCCACCGTTCCCAGTCCCAATTATTTTAGCACTTTGAAACATATAATATTTACCTGGCACAACAAATTTATGTTTATATCTAGTGTGTTATGGCATGTCAAATCATTGGGGTAAAAGATGTGGTTTTTTTAAAAACAATCTTGGGAAACATGGCAAAAGGTTCGGGAAAAAAATTACACAGCACTATCTTGTACCATCTATTTAAATTATAAACAAATAAACAAATTACATATTGAAAAGTAAAACACAGGTAAAAGTATGTTATATAATCTTTGTAGAGGGAAGGTTTTTCTAAGTATGCCCTCAAAATCAGAGATGTTAAAGAAAAGAGTGACAGTTATGACTAAGCAAAAATTTCAATATTGGGGAGACTTTTATTAAAGCTAAAGGCAAATGTGAAAAGGGGATATTTTAACAGTACAGTTCAGAGACTGTGTGTTTCTAGTCCTTGAAAATGAGTCTGTAAGTGAACAAATGGGCAAGCACTCTTGCCAAATGGATAGATAGCCTTTTCAGTCAGTCACTTCCTCTTTCCCTGCTTGTAAACGGAGCTGATGGTCACTGCCCAGAGTATTATTTATGGAAGTGGTACCTGTATTCTCATAATAACAAGTTTTTGTGATGGAAATAACTTGTCTTCTAGTGACATTTCCCCTTACCTGTGAAGTTTTCTTCCCTCCCACCACCAACACCTAACCAGCCTTATAAGAATAACTTCAATCTTCCCCTACATGATGTGTAAAATTTAGGGAACTTGTTATGTCCAAGATAAAAATGAATGTCTAGTCTAAAATATTAGAGTACATTGGAAAGTCTGAACTTCCAAATGGGGGGTGGGGGGAACTCCACTTAATTGAGGGCACTGTACTTATTTATTTATTTATTTATTTATTTATTTATTTATTTATTTTTGAGATGGAGTTTCACTCTTGTCGCCCAGGCTGGAGTACAATGGTGTGATCTTGGCTCACTGCAACCTCCGCCTCCTAGGTTCAAGCGATTCTCCTGTCTCAGCCTCCCGAGTAGCTGAGATTACAGGCATGCGCCACCAGACCTGGCTAATTTTTGTATGTTTAGTGGAGACAGAGTTTCACCATGTTGGTCAGGCTGGTCTCAAACTCCTGACCTCAGGTGATACACCCGCCTTGGCCTCCCAAAATGCTGAGATTACAGGTGTGAGCCATTGCACCCATTGTACATCTTAGAATTGAAAACAAAACAACACACACACACACACACACACACAACTTCTCCTCTTTTTTAATGACTCTGTCTTTTTTTTAAATGACTCTGGCTCTTCTCTGTGAGATGTGTACTGTTAAGGTGAGTGGAACTGGAAGGAGATTGGCAATTCTATTGTAATACAGGGCAGGACTTACTCTTAAATTCTTTCTGGAAGTTTCCTTCTCTGAGTGGTCCTGCCCCCATGGTGTGTTTGTGAGATATCTTTGGGTCAATAAACTGGCCTAAGATTCTGCAAGGCAGATTGGTCTTCACCTTCTTTATGTTACTTCAGCTTTCTGTGGTATGTATTTAATGGGAAATTAGACAGTTTATTAAAAATAAAGTACCTTACAAAATAAGCACCCTTGCCTTCAGGAATGTATTTTTAGGAAATAATTAGGCAAGTGAGTAAAGGGGCTTATTACAGTAGTTTGTAATGCCAAAACTTTGGGAGTAACCTACATGCCTGAAAATGAGATACAGGTAACAAATTATCGTATTTCCAGTCAGCAGAATGTTGCAGATGCTATGATAAAGCAACTCTGGATTTATTGAGAAGAAAAAATTCAGAATAATTCCTGTATGTAATCCATGATAACTGTATATGATAACCCATTGTAATACATAGCTTTAATAAAGTTTTATTAAAATATGTATAGATTTACTTGGGAAAAAAACCTGGAAGGACATATATAAGGTACAATCCTATCTTTGGGTGGAGAGCTATGGAGTAATTTCAGTTAACTTATTTTTTGTGTACTAGAATGAAAAAATAAGGTTATTAGGGCTGTATTTCAGGAATGTTTGACACATACAGTAGATTTTTGTTACTTGATTTTTAAAATTGATGAATATATAAAAATAATTGGAAGACTTGTGTAATTGCACTGATGTAGATTTTTCTCACAGGACAAAGAAATAAAAAACCTCACTCTGCCTTTTTAATTAACAGATCTTCTCACTCAGATATGGCAACAAGCAGCCTTCACTTTGCATCATGTGATACACAACAGGCACCCAGACAACGCGGAGCATCTACTGTGAACAGGTCAGGAAGGGTCGTGGGCATTCCTGGGGGAAGAGGGGGGAACAGTCCAACCCTTGAAGGAATAGAATACTGATATTTGCATAGTGCATTGTGTTTGACAAACCTGTGAGGTCAGGAGACGCCTAGGCAAGTAGAGTGCCCATTTTATAAATCAGGGAAGGAGAAACGGTGGCTGCTCAGGGACTCAGTGAATAGGTGACACTGTTACATGAAAGCAAAACAAAATTCAACTTTGGGGCACAACTCCGTTTCCAGTCTTTTTTGTCTTTCAATATTTTTGGCAGTTATTTTTATTATAAAATAGTAAATCACACTGCCAGACATTGGGGAAAATGGAGGAAAGGACAAACATCAACCATAATGGTGGCCACTTGAACACAGAATTTTGGTGTATTTCCTTCCAGTCTTTTTCCTAGGCATGTGCTTCTTGATACAGTTGTAACCATAATAGACTTTTCATCAAATATTGTATTATGATTGTTTCTTTCTTACACTTTTTGCATAATCTTGGTTTAAAAATACATTTTAAGAAGTGTTCATTGTAGAAAATTCAGAGCTATAGAAAGCACAAAGAGAATGAAATATGTATTACTATAATCCTAATTATTTTTGTGTGCATTCTTTTTCTCTTCATATGTAGAGATATTAAATTTTTTTCTTAATTGGGATCATATTAAATATACTGTTCAGTAATCTACTTTTTAAAACTTAATATATCACGATATTTTCCTCTTCCATTAGATATTTTTCTGTGATATCATACTTGGTTAATTTTTGTTCCTTTCCAGATCATTTAGAATTAACAGATTCTCTCTTTGAACATGAAGGTTGTTTTTTGTGAGTTATTAAGGCAGCTCTGTTAAAGCTGTTTTAGTACATGAGAAAGCACTTTTCATCCATCCTTAGAGGTTTATTAAACTTTTAAGATTATACAACAGATCCTTAGCAGTTTGGATTTTGCATTTGAAATTTCAGCTCTGCATGTGTTCTTTATACTCATGGGTTTGGTAGTTTGTCTTAGGATTCTACTCATGGAATATACAGAAGAGGTTGCAGAATGGAGATGAAGTTGAAAATAACTTCTAAGTATCTTAAGGCATTTGTTTTCCATATCCTTTTTTACTGTGTATGTCCCTGCTCATGGAATTTTGTGTTTTCTTCAAAAAGTGCTCTTCCTTCATAGTTATCCTCTAACTCATCCCATGGTTTCCTAAGTAATGACTTTATAATGCTGAGTTTGAAAGCTATAATAAAATAAAAATTACTGAAAGCGATAATAAATAAGGGCATGATATGCATAGTCAGCAACAAGCTGCATCTGTAGACTGGAAGTCTTTAGCATGCACGTAGTCGTTGAAGTGATAAACCACACCTGTATTTCCCAGAGAGCCATACCGAAAGAGAAGAGAATGGAGGAAGGAACCTTTGGGAACACAGAACATTGAAGGATGGCTGAGACAATGACGGTTCAAACAAGAGCTACATAGATGTGTGAGAGAGGAAGACTCTATGAGTTGGTGGCCACAGGACAGGCAAGGGACTTGGGGGAGGGGCAAATTCTGGAATGCAGTCAGCAGAGCCAGGTGTGGCAAAGAGGTCTTCATGGATACGGGTGAAAAAGTATCCTTTGCATTTCATAGTTAGGTCATTGGACACCTTTAGCTCGTAAGATTTCAGGGAAGTTGAGGCAGGAGTCAGGCTGCAGGGCTAAAGATCAATGGGAGGTGGGGAAGTAGGGAGAGTGAGCATCAGTTCTTTTTTGAAGCTCTTGCCTATGAAAAGAAGGAGTGGGAGAAGGGTGCGTTAGGAGAGAAAGCAAGATTGAGGGAGTTACCTTTCTTGCTGGTTTTACTTTAAATAGAAATGAATGAGGTTTGTGTATATTTCTGAGTTGGGAAGGAGTTAGAGAGGAAGAGGTTAAAGCTACATAAAAGGAAGTGGAGGTCAAATATAAGAAATAATTGAGAAGTGTTTTCATGATAGCACAGGGTGGGCATCCCTAATCCAAAGATCCAAAATACTCCAGTGAACATTTCTTTTTTTTTTTTTTTTTTTTGAGTGTCACGTGGGTGCTCAAAAAGTTTCAGATTTTGGAGCATTTCAGTTTTGGATTTTCACATTAGGGATGCTCAACCTGTATTCACATTTGCAGTTTTCATAGTCTTTTTCTTTTTAAAAACTAAATAATAGACATTCTCACTCTGCCTTTTGATTAATAGGTCTTCTAATGCATGTATCAAAGCAAGCCCTTATAAATGTAATGTGGAGCAGCCTAAAAGGACACTTGCAAAGTGGAGGAAGCTTGGATGTAGACAAGAAATGTGGCTCTTATGGAGTTAGTCTGAACAGAAAATGATAATGCCATACCTCATATGTTACTCCTTCTGGTACTCCTCACTCCACAAATAGCTATTTGCTTCTTAACACAAAGTTGTGAGGCAGCCAAGGAGGGAGTTTGAGTCACCATTTAACAAGTGAGACACCCTGGGTGTCAAGTGACATAGCCAAGTGCCACGGCCAGGCAGTGGTGGCATTACATCTTGATGCTCCACCTTCTCATTTCTGGGCCGGTGCACGTTTAAGAACCTCATTTGCCTCCTTGCTTATAATCCCTTTCACTTGCTTAGTCTTACAAAGTGTTTTGAAAACCATGGTTTCTTTTGATTCTCCCTCCAACCTTGAGAGAGCCAAGAGAGAATCTTCCCACAAATGGATCCTCATATCCAGAGAAGTACATGATCAGCTAAAATGCCTTGTCACTCTGAAATTCTTGGAGTTAGAATTTCCTGCCAGTGTCCTTTCAGGTCACCAAAGTGACAAACTTTAAGACATTTGACAGTTTTGTGTTCATCACTTCAAATCTGTTTAGAAACTAGTTGTTGAAACAACTGTGTTAAGGTCACTTTGGAAAAGTGAGGAAAGACTCGGCACACTGGCCAGAGCTTTGTCATCACTTTACTTTCTCCTCTTACCACATCTCTTCATTGGAGGTGGGAGACATATTGTTGGCTCATCAAATATGTATTTTTCCATAGGAAACAGACTGAACACAAGGTTGCTCAATTTACAGTCTCTAAGTTAAAGTGTGTCTTTTTTATTTACTTGAGAAAGTCATCAAAACAGAACAGGGGTCTACGGCCTCAGAATTAAAGGAACGGAGAGAAAACCTTTCATAGACTTCTTTATACTTCACTTACCAAGCCTAGATATGTCAGCCCAGTGTGGATACAGAGTGTTGGTAGCTTTAGTTACCAAATCAAGGTTGGCGTTGGGATATCCCAGAATTACATAGGGAGTTCTGGCTGCTCAGGAGACTGAGTTCCAGAGACTGGTTTAGTGGGATGAGGTGTCCACATGGCTCAATCATGAAGGTTATGGCAAAATGTTGGCCAAGGGCTTATAAGAGAAGAGGGTGACTCTCCCTTGGATTGGTTAGTAAAGAATTCAGGATAGAGGGAGTTGTTTAATGAGTATGGAGTTTCAGTTTTGCAAGATGAAAAAGTTCTAAAGATTGAAGTGATGAACCACACCTGTTTGGTTCACACAGTGTGAATATACTTAACACCACTGAGCTGTGTGCTTTAAAATGGTTAAGATGATAATTAATTTTATGCTGTATATATTTTACCACTATTAAAAAAAAGAATGCAGGACAGATTGCCCAGCTGTTATTACATAGAGTTAAGTCTAGCTTTTACCTCCTTTGTGTTAGAAGAGTGCCAGGTGTATTTTCCATGCCATTACCACATGTGTACCATTCCGTCTCGGAACAATCCCTTTTAGTTTAACAACTGCAACAACAAAAACCCTTGACTGAGCTTGAGAAAGCCGAGGCAAGTTTTTGGGAATACATCCCACCTTCTCACTGTACTTATGTTACCCTGTCTTGCTTCTTCCTAATTCATTTAGCCTTCGTCTAATGATCTGGCTTAGTTGCTTAACCAGAGTAGTCACCAGTGTTTGCCGAGAAGTCATTTCAAAATAAGTTATTTTTGTTAGAGACATATTGGGCAATGTAAAAGTATTACCATATGTAACAATGCAATACTAAAAAGCAGCTTATTATAATTGTGCTAATAAGCACAAAAAAAATCAGGATAGGAAGGAGGGGCATTAAGGTATAATAATTTAAATGAATTTATATATCATGCTTTGGTTATATAGACTAAGTGCTTTTTTTAAAAAAAGAACAAAACCCAACTCTTTCTATTAATTAACAGATCTGCTAAAGTAGACATAACTTGAAGCACTGTGGCACCACAGGGGTGCCTCTGGGTCAGAACTCTGCTATTCTGGGGCCTAGACGCAGAGACCCCTGGCACCCAAGGCCTCAGTTCTGATGCCATTCTCTGACAAAAGAAACCAAGGCTCCTGGCTGATTCCAGCACCAGGGCCGGGAAAGTACGAGATGAACCTAGAAGATCTTGTGCCAGAAAGTAAAGAATTGCTGGAAAAAAGGACAGGGCTTGTCGAAAGAACACGGGAGCAACATAAAGGAGCTTCCAATTGCCAAATCTGGGACAATTTGAGAAAGAAAATAAATAATGACTGTAATGAGTTATATAGTCCACAGAATGAATTAATAGCGATGTGTTTATAGTATATAAATAATTGGGTAAACATGTCAGTGGTAGGAGGGAGAGCTCTTCCCTATTCATTCTGACTGATGTGGAAGAAATGACGGGAACAGAAAATTGCTGTTTGACAAACCACAATGGTAATGGGTACAGACAAGAACACTCAGTGGACACTAAAGTTAGGGGGCAATGTGTGTTGTGAAATGGGGTATCTGCAGAGTGTTGAGAACCTCCCCTGAAAATGCTTAGTGACTCCCAAGGGAACAGTAGTAACCTCACATCAGAGACCACCCTAGCTATGCGGTCGTCACCAGAAACAAGCTGTGCATGCAGCTCATAGCCCTGATACCATGCACTGAGAACACGGCATCACTGCTGTGGTTTTCTTGCCCATAATGTCTCTTGTCCAAGTACTAACCAGAC